GTCCAAGAACAACAAAGGTAGGTGAATCGTAAGTCTGTAACTACCGGCAACCAGACATATAGGCTACAGCATAACAAAGCAGTAATATATTTTTATTACTATTTTCCAATAAAGTGTGTATAAACTCTTAAACTTATCTATTTGTATTTCTTATACTTCAGAAGATAATGGTTTCAATAATGTAGAACACGTAGTCTAATGGCATAACTTTGTTCGAAGCCACAAAAGATTTCATTTACCAAACACGTTTTCGTAATATCTCACAAAATTCCTTTAATTGGTAATTCAACACTCTCTGTTAAAGCTACCCGTTATTCCTAACCTTTATTCGCCTACACTTGACCTGATTCTTCCAAACGGCAAATTCATATTAACTAAATTGTAATTTTTTACTCATGTTGAAAGATCGTATCGTTCAGAAAAGCCATCAATCAATAGGGGGGTTGCCATAAATTGAGATTTTATATGTCAAGTAGGTACTGAGTTAGCTGGCTACATTTAAAAAATAATTTACTCCGAATAATGATTTGAAAAAAGCAGTACTGGTTTTTCATTTTAAATGTGCTTAATATTTATATGCATCTACAATTTGCGATTTGCAAATTACAGATAATTATTATACTGAGTATAAAGAAGATTAAAATTAATGAAAGATCACTTTTTCCTTCAATTTTAGCAAATTGGAATTTATATTTAATTTTATTACCATAAAATTTTGTTAACACAAAATGTAACCTGATTTAAAAAGGAATCCGAGCTAAAAAATTATGTACAAAAAAAATTAATTAAAGTTTTAGGAAGTCTTCTTTTACTTTTAATACTAAAGACAGACTTCGTAAAGATTCTAAATGGATATTTGGGGTGCTGTATTTTAAGAACATAAATTAGGTTTATATCAACTCTTTTTTTTTTCGCTTGCATCAAATTTAAGAAATTTTACTATTTAAACTTTTTTCTAAACTCGTGAATAAAAGTGTGTCACGTCCTTTCCTCGGTTTTGGTCGAAATCAGTCATTAGCGCCAATACTTCTATTAGTTTGGGAAGGTGTATACTTGACATCTATTGGGAAAAGATAAGAGGCCGAGTAGATACTGAAATAATAATTAATCTAGGAGTCTGCTATATAAATAAAAGACTACAAGTGTTATTAAAACTATTTTCATTAAAACACTAAATTATACTCAAACATTTACCATATAATTCCTATGCTGTGCTGTGCTGTTTAAAAAGACATTTGTCACGGGTGGTCAAGTAATCCAGTTTTAAAGCAAATTAGTAAAAAAAGACAATTACAGAACAACGGGAAAAGCCCAATATATTCACCAATATGCATTAAAGATTTTACATAAGCAGCAACTTGACCAAATACGAATAATCCGAAACAAACGGAATATATACTGCTCCCAGTACACTACTCTAAAATAATAAGTCTTGATTTTACACCTAATAATTTGTTTAGTTTTATCGCACTTCTTGTGCGCCATGACACTATATTCCTTTTGTGGAATAGGTTTTGTTCTCGGTCGCTAATTAAGAAATTCGTCGATGTCTGTCTGGGGTATGTCGGAATACATTGTTCTAGCAAACTGCTTCAGAGGATAAGTTGAGTAATTTCTGTAGTCAGATCATCCAAAAAGTGCCGTTACAGCAGCGCCTCTTTTAACGCAGTCCCATACTATAAAGGAACGAACTTCACTAGTTGTGTACTTTAAAATCCATCTTAATTAATTTTATTTTAAATATACTTGTTGTAGCGATTTATAAGTGTATAAGCCATTAGAATATGATAAGAAATAAAACAAATTAATGGTGGTCGATGTTTTTTTCTAACTGTAAGACCTTAAGAAGGCGTATACTTGGATAATAACTTTTTCAAAATTACAAATTGCGAAACTAGCGATTTTTTCATTTGAAATCTAGTAACACCGCGTTATTTCTACACCCCTTGGTGTCTACTAGGATTTCTTTTTTAATTTTTGAATAACAATTTTTTAAGAAGGGTAAATCGCCTAGCAAAAGTGTTAAGTTGCACCGTTTTTCCCGATTTTAATTGAAAAAAATAAATATACAAAATATATAACACTGAAATAAATGGAAATACAGCAAGAATTATTACGTTTTTAAATTTTGTATAACATACTTAAAAATGAATCGATTTTTATGAAAATTGGTGAGGTGGCATTTTGAGGTATGCATAAAAAGGTGTTATTAGATTTGAGATAAAATTACTAATATAATTTTGCAAGTATTAGTAGGCTCAAAATTAGAAATTTTGAAAAAGTTAATTTTCAACAATACGCTTTTTTACGAAAAAAATAACTATATTTCTCCTTCATTTGTTTTTTACTTACTCTGTTAAATTATTTTACACCTATAAATAGAAACACCCTTTAGTCTGAACGTTATTTTTCTAGCTACCAAGAAACCAGAGATTAAACAAAACAAACAGAAAAAAATAAGTATACAGGGTGTCACCTTTCGCCTTTTGATAGGTATACATTTTTTATGTATACCTATGAATAAAATATATGAATGAATATATGAATATATGAATATGAATAAAATTCTCTACCCATTTCTAATAGTTGCGTGTAAAAAATTAAACGTACAAAAAAGTTACAGAAGAATATTTACAAATGGTTATAGTAAAATGAACGTCCTGTATGATTTAACCTAGTAGGAACAGAATCACTGCAAACTTCATGAAGAGAAACTAAGCAACAGCAAATTTTGCTCAAATCGGTTAACTGGGTTCTGAGTTAATGAGAAAACAAGAAATAAAAAAGAAACTTTAACACCCTGTAACCTTTTTTGCGACATTTTCGTTTAAGAAAGTTTGGTTAAATCGACACCATTTGGGTTCTAGATAATAAATACCCTTGAAGCAGGTATTAACGTTTAGATGACACCCTGTATATTATAACTATAAAAGCAACTTTAGATTTGTTAAAACTTCGAAAAACTATTGATATGAATAGCTAACTATTACGCAATTTTATATATACAAAAAAATATATATATTTTTATAACATGAATCTGTATAAATAGATTTTTACTTTTGGGATTTAAATTAATTCAAAATTAATTCTTATCGAAAAGAAAATGGTTATCACATATTCTGATACCAATCCCCCTCTTCTATTATTCAGTATAAATTTTGTCTATTAATTGCCCGACACCCTCTCCTCTAAAACAATAAAACATTTAAAATAATATCTTGATAGTTCCATGACTTTAATTTTTTTAAACTAAAATAAAATTTTGAAATATACAATTGTTGACTAAATTATTCATAAGTTAAGGTAAAATTACATAGGACTAAAATAAAAGGATCACAGTGACTGCGTTTATCTCACTGGTTTTAATCCGCATTGAAAGAGATTGGATCGAGTTAAGTGGATTAATGTTTAGGAAATAAACAACACAGATTTAAATTTCTGTCCAATCGAGGTTCTCATTCAATCTGACTGACAAAAATTTAAGTCTGTAGTGTTTGTTTCTTAAATAATCCACTAAATCCAAACGCCAATCCTTTTCAATACGAATCGAATTCTACCAGATTTCTAGTAGACTAGTAGACTAGTTACTGAAAAAAATTTAAAATGAAACCTATATTCGGTCGATAGCCGCACGGTTTAAGGCGTCAGTACTTAAATCGATGTGTGCTATCTGCCCGGGTTCGAATCCCGCGGCCAGTAGACCGTAGATTAGCTATGCTTGTACGGAGGATTAGCACCCTCTGTGCAGGTATGGTGGAAGAATGTTGGCTTGGGTCAATGTGAGAGATTGACACCGGTTGGCATTTGACCACCCCCCTAATTAATGAGGTTTTCCAGGTTTCCCTCAATCCTGCACTGAATGGTGGTTAGGGCCTACCAACATAAGTCGTTCCTGGGCGCAAATGCGGCCTGCTTAATAATAATATGCCGCCTCCTCTCCCGCACAAGTCTCCGACTTCTGGGCTAATTCTCGTAGTTAGAATGAGGAGTAGAGATATTATTATTATTATTATTATTATTATTATTATTATTATTATTATTATTTCGTAGCACAAAGTTAACTAAATTAATAATAAAAAATCAGCATAATTACAAAAGCAAAAGAGATAAGTGGAGTGGAATATGAATTAAGATACAAATCCGTGTTATAAATGCAGGAGAGTGTTCCTAAATCGTTTACACCAAACACCTGGACCAAGCTATAAAACCGCTGGTGTTCGAAATATAAGTATACTTGAAATTTAAAATGTAGCGAAGATAATACTACAATTTCAGGATTTAATATAATTTTATATCTAACAAGAAATTCTCTTGTTAGATATCTTGTTAGACATTTGTCTTCCATTTTATTTGAAAAACCAATCGTTTTCAAATTATCATTTATTTTAAATTTAAAGTCAGCTTGTAGAGAAGCTACAGAATAAAGTGAATTTAAAATATGTAAATCTAAAACTACATAAAAAAATTACTTACGCAAATATTATACTACATAAGCATAATTATCAAAAGTACAAATATAACTGTAATGTAGAATTTTTAAATTTTCTGAGACGTATTAGAAAGCAATGAAAAAATTGTCAGACGCACTCTCATCTAGCGCAATAGATTGCAGAGTAGTTGTTTCTCACAATATAATTAACTACGAATATGAGCGTGACATCAAAATAGTTAGATCATTGGTCGATAATCTCGTCATGCCGAGAGGAATATGGAAAAGCACCCTGTATAAACGTCTGCAAGTGCGAAAGTTGGTAGTGGCAGCCATATGAAACAAATTAAAACAATTTGGATTACGCTTTATAACTAAGATCTAGGTTTCAGCAATTTTTGTTGTTTTTATGACAAAATACGTATTACCAAACTTTAGCTTGCCTTTTAAATCCTGTAAACGATTTTTAAATCATTCATTTCATATTTTCATAGAAAAATCATTAAATTAAAAATAAACATGAAACAAGAAGCAGTTTGTTTACACAATTATCATGTTGTTATTGTTGCAGGTGTCTGAGTACGCGTTTGCCGGTTTGGAAGATTCGCTATCAGAATTGGACATGGCTGAGAACAAACTCCAGAATTTTCCAATTAAAGCTCTCAGAAGACTTGAAAGATTGCGACATTTACGCTTAGCCTGGAACGAAATTAATGCCATACACGACGACAGCTACTCCAAGCTTAGCTCTCTGTTGTATTTAGATTTGAGCTTTAACAACTTCGAGAAACTCGAAGAGGATTCTTTCCGGCCGTGTCCTGGCGTGCGGACATTGTCCTTGTATTACAATGTCATTGAAAGTGTTCATCAAGACGCGTTTGCGTCGCTAAACGATTTACAGTCCCTAGACCTGAGCCATAATAAAATAGTGTATTTAGATTCGTTGACGTTTCAAACTAACAAAAAATTACGCTCCATCGATTTAAGCCATAACCACGTACACTACATTAGTGGCGTATTTGCTTTCTTACCAGATCTGAAGGAATTATTCCTCTCTGAAAATAACATCCTGGAGATACCATCGGATGGTTTTACGGACTCGGTTAATTTATCAGTGATTTACCTACAACAGAACGCCATTAGGCGTATAGATCCTGAAGCTTTAGTTACATTAGTTAACCTAGCTCAACTGCATCTAAGCTCAAACTTCGTACCGCACATTCCAAGAGATTTGTTTCAGCAGAATCGCAATTTGACGTCATTAAGCCTCGACAGTAATTGGTTATCGGATTTGGAGCCAGGGACTTTTGATAAAACGATAAGTTTGCGCGAAATCAGGCTGCACAATAACAGAATAGAGTATATACACCGAGGAGTGTTTGATCCGCTACCGTCTCTTCTGGAGCTGCATCTGCAAAATAACGAAATCAGTTCCATAGATACAGGCGCCTTTCGCACGCTGCAAAGCCTCCAGCACGTAAATTTGCAGGGTAACGTGATAGCGGAGCTCGGGGACGTATTCATGCACGAGTCTCCCTCTCTTGTTTCGATCCAGCTCGATTCGAACAGCATAACTTCGCTGCACAATGATTCATTGCGGGGCCAATCAAGCGTGCAAATTATGTGGCTGGGTCACAATCGTCTCAAGCGATTAGACCGCGCATTGTTTAGGGACCTCTTACTAATTCAGAGAGTGTATTTAACCAACAACAGTATATCTTATATAGAAGACAGATCGTTCGAGCCGATGCAGGCGTTAAAATTTCTCGACCTGAGCATGAATCAGCTCACGGAGATTACCAGAAAAACATTCGCTGAATTGCACGAAATGGAGGAACTGTATTTGTCACACAATTTATTGGAGAAAATAGAACCGAAGGCGTTGACAAATTTGAAAAAACTGCGGATTCTAGATTTATCATTCAACCCGCTAGTAGTGCTCCACGACAACATTTTACAAGAAGGATTGCCCATAAGAATGTTAAATCTATTGAATTGCTCAATATCGAACATAGAACCGGGTGCCTTCAGGGGACTCAATAATCTTAACGAGCTAAATTTAGCCTCTAACGAATTGACTTCTCAGGATCTGAAGCATCTGGATATTCCTGGATTGAGGGTTCTAAAAGTGTCTAATAATAATTTTAGTGATTTATATGGTTCTGCTCTTAATGGTTTGCCTTCGCTGCAAGTTATTTCACTCGATCAGTGTGGGATTATGAAACTTCCGGATAACATTTTCTCTAAAAATAAGAATCTCCTTAAAATAGATCTTAGTAACAATTTTGTAGATGAACTGAAACACGGAGTATTTTTAAGCTTAAATGTTTTGAAAGAACTGAAACTTACCGGTAATTTATTTAAGGATTTACCCTACACTGCCCTCCTAAACATATCTACAATGGAAATACTTTCTCTAGCCAATAATAAGATGACGAGCATCGAAGTGTCCCGCTTTAATGGCCTACCGAACCTGAAAGAGCTTGATCTGAGAAACAATTTTATATCGTCTCTATCGGGCTTCGCATCAGCCAATTTGACGCAGTTATTGTCGGTAGACTTAAGCGATAACGCATTAGCTGCCTTACCTGCCAATTTCTTTCACCATTCTCCACTATTACGACGTATTGATTTATCCTGCAATCGTTTCCGCCAAATACCGAACTCCGCATTATCCGAAAATACTCTGCCCGGCTTAGGATGGTTAAATTTAACTGGAAATCCACTGGTGCGAATACACGACATTGCATCAGCACACCGGTATCCCTCCTTGGAGGAAGTTCATATAAGTTCGACAAATTTAAGCATCGTAACGAGTAAAGATTTTGAATCTTTTCCTGCATTGCTCCACGTTTATCTCGGACAGAATCGCATCTCGAGGGTGTCCCCGGGCGCGTTTGGGAGTTTGCCCCACCTACTTACATTAGATTTAGGGTTAAACGAGTTAGAGTTGATGCCGCAAGAGCGGTTGCAAGGCTTGAATCACTTGCGGATATTAAACCTAACTCACAACAAGTTGAAAGAACTTGAAGAATTTTCTACGGATCTCAAGTCACTTCAAATACTGGACATTTCCTTTAATCAAATAGCTCGTATAAGCAAAACAACATTTCAACATTTAGAAAACTTAGCGGAATTGTACCTGTACGGCAACTGGATATCATCGGTGTCTAGTGATGCTTTCAGGCCTTTAAAAAAGCTAAGAACTTTAGATCTGAGCAAGAACTATTTAGAAAACATTCCGTTAAACGCTTTTCGACCCCTGGAAACACAAATCCGAAGTCTTCGTACCGAAGGTAAGTCGAATATCACAGACACAATCTCCATTTCAATTTCCTTTCGTTTTATATTCGAGGATATATCTTTGCACTAAGTAATTCTAAATGTCAATATGTTGTTACGAAAGCAGAACTCGTTTTTGGCTAAAATAAATTTATAGAACAGTTCAATAATTATGAATTGTGTAGGGAACAAAACAATTAATTAAAATCTCACCGAAAAGAAACCACCCTGAATAATTATTTTCAATAGATTTCTTACAAGATTAAAAATTTTCCGTTGATTTAAAGTAACACAAAAATAGAAGGGGTCGAAGGGGTAGAACTTAATTTTCTATAATAGGAAAAACACATTTATACAGGATATGAGGAATCGAATACTTTCAGGATACCTTCCTTAAATGAAAGTAATCTGATTTAAATTAGTTACCTTGCTAAAGTTAGTACAAATTGTAAAAGATAATGAAAATATCTTCAAATTTGACATAAAATAAATTTCAATTGATATACAGGGTGATGCAGAACTTATCCAAAAAAATGATTTTAAATGTAAACTCTTACAAATACAATTTTGTAAAAACTACAACAAAAATTCTTTAGGATATTTTTTTCAAGGGCTATAGTCTTTGAAGGTAGTAAAGTTGTACTAAGGTAGCTTGATCTAAATCGGTTTATTCTCCTATCCGCTTCCTATCACTTTGTATAAAGCGCGCCTTAACTGATATGAGTATAGTAGATCTATCTTTAATTGTACTTAAAAGAAATATATCAAAAAACCTATAATATACTAGTGATTATGGTACACCCCATGTCAAAGTATGTATTTCTTGAGAAAAGAAAAAAAAGTTTGTTTAAATACGTAAAATATGTAGAGGGCGTTGGTAAAATGATTGTACAATTTTGAGGAAAATCCTTTTAACCGGTCTACTTTTCGAGATAGTAAAAATATCACAAAAACGCAAATATCTCTAAAGGTGTTTGATGAAAAATAATAAAACTTGAACCACTGACTTTGCTCAATAAAAATAAAAATCCACTGATTCTGTATACAATTATGTTAACTAGTATGTTAATGCTAACACTCGGAGTAGTTTTTGGTCGTTTCGTTTTCTTTTTCTTAAATTGACCAGTGACATTTGCCTTCAGTTTGAAATTTCTCATCGAAATTCAATAGATTTACTTTATCTGCAATCGTGGGTATCTCTTGCTTTTTATTCGTAAAACCAGTAATTATTTTTTTAAGCATAAAATAAACTTAAAACACAAAACATCGAAAATAATTATAAAGCCATTGGCTTCATCAAATTAAATTGTAGGATTATTTTCTTGTGCAATTTTAAATACTATGTCGTCATTTAAAGTCCATAAATTGGCGTAGAAATTTGCTCCTTGCTATCCCTCAGAAAATAATATATTTGTATGCCAGTGATCTCCTTTTCTTTTATGAAACGATCAAACGAACAGTGTTTTAGGATTTCCAAAATACCCAGTGGCGCCGAAATTCCCGGGTTTTTAATTAGGGTATCTGTCGATATTTTGACACAGATTGATATAATTGCATACAAACTCAGAGAATTTTTATATTCATTCAGCCCAAGTTTTGCTTTACCTATGTCGTTTTGTTCATTGCTCTTGTTATTGTTATATAAGTAAAGGTTGATGTATTAAAAAGTATTGAAAATGATAAATATTTAATTAATTTATAGAAAGAATTCAAATGTTTCACTTGGTTACTTGACTTTTTTATTAAAATTGTACTTATATTCAATACCTTAGTTATTTACTTATGAATACCCCATAAATTATACGTCGTTATAAAGAGAATTTCCCTTTTCTTCTAAAAAGGCAAAAATTCAGTATGGAGTCCATAGCAAAAACAAAAGTTAACCACCGCTCAGCACACATTTTTAGTGATAAGTTAATACTGACAGCAAAAATCAATTCCTCACATTATTTCATGTCAGACTACACATTGTTGTCCTATAATTTTGAAAATCAAGTGAAATGCGACAAAAAAAAATAGCAAAAAATCGGTTTCCTTCGGATACCTTCAGGACCGTTCGGAATTTTTGTAAATTTGAATGAACTCGTGATCGGCTTAAAATTCTGCACATTTTTGCTTATTTAATCATTTATGTATCTCTTAAAATAAGAAATACATCTGTATTGGACAATTAGAAAGTTGTAACCCTGTCTTTTATTCTTAACTTTATATCGTATCCCGAACAATAACGGAGAAAAAGAGCGTCTGCATATCAAAAATGTTCTAATCATCATATTACAGATTTTTTAAACCAAATTAGATCTTAAAAGCCATTTCACTTTATTATCGTTGGTATTAATAATACGAAATATTCATTAGAATGTGGATATAAATATTTATTGCTTAGAAATACACTAAAAACCTAAACTAACACCCGTTAGTAGGTTACAGAAGTATTTTATTTTTGAAGTGCAGCATTTATTTTCAGAGAACCCTCTATCCTGCAGCTGCGACTCGCAAGAATTGTGGGAATGGTTGAGAGATCATCAAAAGCTGGTGGAAAGGACTAACACTTTAGAATTACGATGCGAGCACCCTCCAGAGCTAAGAGGGCGAGTATTCTTAGACCTGGACCCGGAGCAATTCTGCGATCAGCCCATGGTTGTTAAGCTGGGCATTCAGGATATACAGCCGTTTTCAGTTTTAGTTTCCTGGCAAAGCCGTAACCACTCCGGCCTTCACGGGTATCAAGTCGCCTACTATTCAATGGATACTGTCGACGAGGTAAGTCTACTTCGTCAGTCTGCTGCCTCTTATTATTTCAATGTTCTGAGTCTGATTGTATATTGAGTGCTATACAGCATGATTCTCTTTTTATGATTCGGACTTTAACCATCGATAGATCTCGTCAAAATAATGTCATTTTGAAGCATACACTTTTTCTTCCAGAAGCTTTCTTTTCGAGATATAAGCTCTTGCAAAAACATTTTTGTTTTGTTTTTATTCATAGCCATTTATTTATGTTTATTATGACGTGTACGAATGAAAAGCTCTATCGATTTTACAAGTTATTGTGAAATTAAATCAATCATAGGCATCCATAAGGGGCTCTGATAACCACTATTTTAAATATAATTTCTACGCCATTAGAAATTTTTCAAAATGAATATATTTTTTTACATTACGGTATATTCTACTGCAAAAAGGATCCTTACTATTTTTGAATAAAATGCTTGTTTTTTCAGTAAAATGGCTTCTTATAGATTCATTTCATGTGAAATGGTTAAGTTTTTCAAACAAATACAGAATGAAATATTTAATATTGAGAAACAAACAGAAATAACAATTAATAATAGAGAACAAAAGAAAAAGTATCACAACAAATGTTCGAAATGTTGTCCTCGAACCTCAATGCATTTCTCCCATCGCCTAATTAAGCTTCTAATCATACTGGGGTAGTGTTTAAGAGTTTTACAATTATTTCCAATTCTTCTTCATAACATTTACCATTTAATAAATCCCCCCATGAAATAATCCATGGGATTTAGATCTGGCGATCGTAGCGGCCAAACGATGGCACTGGTACCAGGTTCTGCATGATTCATTTTCAAAATACGCCCGATCCAACGACTTGGATAGTGCTCCCCAAGCCACTGCCTAATTGGAAGACCGTAATAAGCAGGAGCGCCATCTAGTCGAGTCGTCGAGTAAAGTATTTAAATTTTCGTTGTTTGAAAAACATAACCATTTCACATGTAACGATTCCATAAGAAGACATTCTTCTCAAAAAACAAATATTTCATTTAAAAATAGTAACAGACTTTTTTGCAGTAGAATAAACCGTAATGTAAAAAATATATATTTATTTTTAAAAATTTCCAAATTTCCAGTGGCGTACAAATTCTATTAAAAATATGGATTGTCAGAGCCCCTTACGGACACCTATAATTGATCTATTTTCACAATAATTTCTAAAATCGATAGAGCTTTTCAGTCGTACACTTCATATTAAATATAAAACAAATGGCTTTCATGGTTTAGGAAAAAATAAATTAATATCAAAAAAAGTTTTTTTCAAGAGCGTATGTCTCTAAAAGGAAGCCTTTGGAAGAAAAAGTGTATACTTCAAAATGGCATTATTTTGACGAGATCTATCGATAGTTAAAGTCGTAATCATAAACAGTGAATCACCCTGTATAATAATATTTTGTCATAAATATATATATGTCTTGCAAGCAATATTACCGTATAGTCCCTTATCTCTTCTACTACTAAATGGTATGGACCGCATTTTTTTTCTTTACTTCAATAAAGTAATTAAATAAAAAATGGACTTCTCCATAAATTAAAACAATATCCATTAATTTTGCAATGCACAGGTTATTTTAAACATTTGTGAGATTGATGTAAACAATAAACCACGATGATAAGAGCACCGAAATCTACAGTAATACTGCATAAATAGGCATTTGTCAAATCGGCTGAAGCTATCTAAAGAGACGCACGTAAAAGATTAAGAATATTAAGATGTAATTTAATAAAAACAACAGTCCTTTAGCTGTGCACTATAATAAAAAGTATTGGAAAATTCCTCGAACTTTCCATGGTAACCTGTTGTCAAGTAAAATTAATGTATAGGCTGATTCTGTCATAATGTCATTAATTTTAACCACGTTTTTGGAATGCCTAATAAAGACGGAAAATCGACCTTTTCAAAAATAAGCAAATTACCTACTTCGCAACTCATTTTATGGCAGGTAACGCGCCGGCGGCGGACTACAGAGCATTCGTACGTTGAAGCGAAACAGCTGATTTCCTCAGTCGTGTTGAATTTTGCAATTGATTTCAAAATCAAAAATCAGAGGATCCCAATTTTATTAACAAAGTGCTATGGAGGAATGAGTGTTTTTTAGCCGTACTGTGACTTTAAGTAAGTAGGTACCATACTACTCTTTGAAAAGCAATGAGGCACTAGGTATACGTACTATAAACTAAATAATTAATTAACCATAATACTAAAAACTCATATTCAATTACAAAACGGTGAAAACGTTAAAAATATTAAAAATACTAAAATGTCATAACCTAGTAATCGATTCAATTATTATCGTTATAACAAATAAGTAATACTTGTTAATATTTAAAATGTAAAAAATATCTTATTCATTTATGTGTCTAGGTAAAAAGATATTTTTTCCGTATCGTTCAGTTCGGATTAAAAATGCAATAAAAGTAACCATATAATATGGTAGCTCAAGATTCACTCTCGATTAACCTTTGTAGGTCAGTGGTCAGGAGCGGTCCGAAAAGGGATTTAAAAATATTTTTTCAGCGTAAATATCCATTTTAAAATTTATTTAATCGCGTACCTATTCTACTCATTTTTCCCTATCTTCCCTTAAAATTAATGGCATTATGACTGAATCACCCTGTATAATCAATATATATTTTTAAAATATATATTTAATATTACATAAATATTACATGAATTTTACTTGATCCTTCCATGGCAACAGGTTGCCATCAAAAATTAAAAGGAATTTAAAAAAATATTACAGTGCGTAGTACTTTTGAATATAACAACTTCAAACATTTTTTCTCTGACTGAAAATATTTTATTATATCTTTTTTGCTGACATAGATTCTCTTTTTAATGCTTTTTATGAGTTATTTTTTGCCCATATATCTCTTCTTTTCAAATGTGTTAATGTTTTCTACTAATTATAAAAACAACGATTGTAAAAATAGAAATAAATATGGTAAAATACATACAACGAAAACGTAACATAGCGCATAGCGGCTAGGAAATTTTTTTTTTTGGAAAAACGCAAAAACTCGTCGATTTTGTTTGCGAGGGGGACATCTTTTTGCATGAATTAGATGGTTCTAACTGCTACCCCCTGAGCGGGGTAAACATCCCCTTCAAATTTTTAAATGGGAAGGGTGATCAAATTGCATATCGTTCAAAAGCTCTTTTAATTATCTACACAGTCATGTGCCACTTTTGAAAATCAGCCTATTTTTGTAAAAGATACAGGGTTTTGAAAGCAAAATTTTATTAATGAAATTTTATTACAGTAAATGTTCAAAATTTTGGATCCCTGCGTCCATACAATTATAAAGATTTCGTTCAAAACGTTGTCTTACATTCTGGAGCATTTCAGGAGTAACTAGTCGACATTCATTAATGATACGTTGACGTAGATCTTCCCGGGGGCCGGTTGGGTGGCATAGATTTTGGTTTTTAGGTGCCCCCACAAAAAGTAGTCCAATAGGCTTAAATCTGGGGATCTAGGAGGCCATTCAATGGCACTTCTCCTGCCGATCCAACGATTCGGAAATGTTTGGTTTAAGAATTCGCGCACATGGTGGGAATAGTGGGGGGAGCCCCGTCTTGCTGAAACATCAGTTCATCTTCGAGGTAATCATTATTGCTTTCCACAATTACCGTTAAGGCTGGATCAATGGCTTCTTGCAGCAATTCCAAATCATATCACCAGTCGAATTACCATTTATAAAAAAAGGACCAACAAGGGAATCACCAAAGATACCTGCCCAAACATTTAATTTTTCTGGGTGTTGAGTATGCTGTTCGTGGAATATCCTTGGATTGGAGTCTGCCCAGTAACGGCAATTACGGCGGTTGACGGTGCCATTTAGGAAAAAGCTGCACTCATCGGAAAAACAAATGTTGAAAAGAAAATTTGGATTATGCATCGCCCGTTCAGTCATGACCTCGCAAAATTGTACCCGGCGGTCAAAGTCATCTTCGTGAAGTTCATGGAGAAGGTGAATTTTGTAAGGATGGAACTTTTAAAAATCGTTGTACACTACCCCGACTTACACCGCTTACAGAAGCCAATTGCCGTGTACTTAGCCTATGATCTAAAGCAACATGTCCCAGAACTGCAACCTCCACAGCTTCATTACGTACAGGACGTTCATTGTTTCGCTTTTTATTGCCCACAGATCCCGTCTACCGGAATTTTCTTACTAACTCCAAGACAATTTTGCGATGGACGGGTTTATTGGCATGTCGTTCAGTAATCAACTGAGCTGCTCACGAAGCACATTCGTTATTTTTATAAAATAATTCAATTATTTCCACCGTCTCTTGCATCGAATAAACCATTTTTAATTATTTTGTATTTAATGCGAAACAGCCACTAAAACCACTAACACCACTTTACGACAAAATCGCTGACTGAAAATGGTCTCTTATCTATACCGTTTTTAGTGGAATTTGTGAAAGAAATAATTACAAACAATCTAACAACACGTTGGAGTAAGTTATGTGTTATGTGTAAGTGAAGTAAGTAATGAGAATAGTTCACATAAAATTATTTATTATCGAATGGAAGTTGCTGGTCAATTATTTCCAGCCGTTTGGATATGTTTAGACGCTTTTAACTTAATGATTTTGAAATTAATAGCGAACTCGATAGCGAACTTTAATTAGAGAATAATTTGTAGGGATAATAGGAAATTTTGTATGTTAAGTTCTGCACCCTTTATCTTTTAAAAAAATAAGTTGATTTTCAAAAGGGACCCATGACTGTGTAGAGAATCAAAAGATCTTTTCAACGATATGCAACTTGACCACCCTTCCTATTTAAAAATTTGGAGGGGATGTTTACCCCGCTCAGGGGTAGCACTTAGAACCATCTAATTCATGCAAAAAGATGTCCCCCTCGCAAACAAAATCGACGGGTTTTTGCGTTTTTCCTATGGGCTCTGTTACGTTTTCGTTGGGCCATCCTGTATATCGTTGAATATTGTGTACA